TAACTTGTTCAATGAGTGTCCAAATGATATGCCGTGATGTATGTAGCATAAACAGATGTAGTAGAAGAGTTTGCAGCAATTGTTGAGTAGTATTGCTTCTGTTGTTGGTGTGATAAGCCAAGATATGTATGGTGACTTGTAGGTTTGAGGAGGAGATTTCTAAGTTTGCTCTTGAGTTTGATAGCAAACTGAGTGCAACGAATGTCAGTATGACAAGATGGATCTTCGACTGAGATGACTGCAAAGCTTGCTGAATCTTGACCCTCTCTTGCTTGTATCTTCGAACTACCCATTCTCGTATAGTACTATGGCTTCGAGGTAAAGACTCTTCACTATTAACATTTAAGAAATGTATTAAGGGCGTTGGACAATTGTGAATGATAATGAGCATCTAGCAATAAGTCGGACAAGTAGCTGCTCAAAAGTTGGAGCATCAAAGTCGGTATCTCGTCGCCGTTTATATGGGTTACTTATTCCACTTGAGAAGGCGCTTGAAATACTCATCTGCATGTTCTTAACTCGTAACTCCTTTGAAGTATCTGTCACTTGGTGTAAATCTGTCAAGTGCTTTGCTGGAGCAGCTGTACCACCCGACCCTTTGTATTGTTTAGTACAATATAAGCATTGCCAAATGCACTTGTTAGCATCCTCTATTAATGAAGGGCTTTTATTGTGTTGCCAAACCCATGAGGTTTGTACTCGTTGGGTTGTTGATGAAATTGAAGGTACTATAGTACTATCAAGATCTAGTTGTGAGGACTGTAACTGGAACACATCGGCATTGTCTTGGAAGCTGCTACTATTAAGAGAAGATAAATTACTAGAATCTGCATTTGTTGAAGCCATAGTACTACTATATAATAGTAATAGTACTACGCGTGCAGAGTTTTCAACGGCACTTATCTACTAGCTTCATAGCTATATTTAACATCATTATCATCACGTGTATTATAATAAGCGATATTGTTTATATTGTTTATATTGGCAATATAATGTGGGGCATATCATATTGCCAAGGAATGAAGGAAGGCCATATCATATTGCCAAGCATATTGTTTATATTGCCAAGACTCGTATTGCGATATATATCGCAATATACTGCCAAGAACCAATATACTACTGGCAACACTGGTTGTTATCATCCTAAAGCACATATGCTATAATGATGTATGGTTATGCTCGTGCTACATCCTACTAAGCCAAAAAGACTACAGTATTCCAGCTTGCCTAGAATACGCATAACATGCTTTATATACCACATGTACTGTAACGTGTAACGCTGACTTCTAAACAATAGAAGACACAGAGGTTCTCTTGCGTAAAGGTTGACTTATCAGAGGAGGCAGGGGATCAGACACAAAGGCTTCAAGTAACACGTTACTAGTATATAACAAATACTGTATTGAGTTGAGCACGAAGCTCCTATCTAAGGAAATACTATCTACTTATATAGTGGCGTCGTGCCTCATGGGTAATCTGGATAGTTGGCGGATAGCTAGATATTCAGGATAGTTCGTGGATAGCTCAACTATCCAATATCCACTAGTTTCTGCAACTATCCATTAGCCCCATCACATGGCAGCCTACCCCACTTCCCACTGTGACTCACACGTCACGTTACTAGGCCCTGGCCCTGTAACCATGACATCATGTTACTATAGCCGTAACATAACGGCAGCAACCCCCTTTAGTCTGTGACGTCCTAGCACAGATGTAGAGGCTTCTAGCTTATCATCTTGTACTTACTTCTAGGCCTATTACTACTTAGGATGCTAAGGTGTGTATATAATAGCTTAAGCCCCTAAGGACGCCCCCTTGTTAGCTAGGTAAAGAATTACACTAATTGCTTGCTTAGCCCACCTAACTAGCAAGCTAATCAAACCCCATTAACTAGGGAGCCGGAATACTCTTGTAATGATGTACGATTACGCTCATGCTACATCCTACTAAGCCAAAAAGACTACAGTATTCCAGCTCGCCTAGAATACACATAACATGCTTTATATACCACATGTACTATAACGGCAGCACCCTGTTACATATGCCCTACTGCCTACTCTAATCCTATTTGCTTAACGATACTCACATGGACTCTATCTCTAACACTGTTTCTTAGTTACTATAATGATTACTATAAAGAAGGTGAAGAGTCTTACCATTTAAGTCTTACCTCGTCCTTCTTTGCCTAGACTCATTCGTCTTGTTTAGTAGGGGTGAGGTCCTTGAATTGCTATATTCCATAGAGCTTCTTTATAGCATAGGTGGTTATAGTAGTGTCTGCCCTCTTTACATTGTCGATCCTACGCTTAGGCTCACCTATGTCTTTGCACCTTTTCTCTATACATTATGTGAACTTATTAGTTGACTTCTTAGCATTAGCCATTAGCAACGTTGCTTTGAATTAAGATAGTTTGAGATTCTTAAGCAGAGGATACATTAATGTCATGTTCTTTTAGGTGACTTGTAATAATCTTCGTTCCTCTAGACTTAAGATACTCCTTAAGGTAATATCTACAATGCCATATTGAATTTCCCTAGTGGTTACGAATGATATTGTAGTTAATAGTTAATAGGTGTATGGTCCTAGACCTTTGAAAATTGTCTACTTGTAGTTGTTATTATAGAGACTAAGGGTGAGGATGGTGTACATTTTGTAAGGATGCCTGTCCCTCAGTGACGGAAAGGATCTGAGTCGGGCAGGTTACTATCACATGATAAGAGTAAAGGCAGGTTAGCCGAGTCGGACCCGTTTCGGGTACTTGAGGAGATTGACCCAACGGGGGTTCCTCTCTTCATCTTTTTTGTATCCTTCATAGTAGACCTATAGGATAGCATCCGTTTAGCCTCCGACTCGCACTCTCATATGCTATTACTGTGAGCTGGGTGCCCTGTGTCCTTACACATTTGAGTTAGGTGAACTTAAGGTCTTAAATTGCTTACTGTCAAATCGCTCACTGTCAAATCGCTCACTGTCAAATCGCTCACTGTCAAATCGCTTACTGTCATGCTATAACAGCGCATTAGATGGTCGTGAAGTCATTATAGTAATATATAGCATCTAATTAATCATTAATTAAGGTTATTTAAACCCCTTGTTTTACATTTTAAGCCTTAATACTAGCTGTATATGGCTAGTATTAAGTACTGAATACATACTGGATCTGTATTAGAATTGGCAATACACACTGACTTAATATTGCCGTATACGATACAGACTCATATACGGCTCGTACATAACCCGTATCGCTAATACTATTTAATACACTGCTTAAGCTGCTAAGGCGTCAAATCCAGAATATAACCGCGATTGCTTACAACATATAAAGAGTCACTAGTGCTACCTGCCATTAGGAACAATCATAGCCTAACCTCGCTTAGTTGTTATATCGCGACGGTCTTGGCTCTTCTTGGCTACGACGAACCCTAGCCCACTTCTCCTCAAAGTCTTTAGCATCTAGGTTGTGGAAATCCGATAAGATAGTCTGCCGCTCTGGTCCTGAGAGGTCATACTCATGCCCATTGACCCCGGCCGTATCTACTAGTACTCCGTTCCCACGCACTCCTTGCGCTGTTGTATTGCTGATAGTAGCTGCTCCCGTAGACCCACGTCTCTCAACGACTGGTGCCCCCGCAACGGCATCGGCGTTACTGCAAACCGATGATCTCGAGTTTTGGAGGTCATTATATTTGGCTTTTTATTTATGTTTTTTACTTCGAGTTCTTTGCTTTCTGATAGGTCTTCGACTGGCTCTTGAACTTGATCGGCGTGTTTCTCGACGCGTCGCTGCCAATGTTCGATTTTTGATTACTCTTCGGAAGGTCTTTCGAGTTTGAGGCTTTGGCAGAATATTTAACATGCTATGGGCCTATGAAAGAGGGGGTTTGGGAATATGTTACCGCACAGGCACAGCGGTTCCCACCGACTAAAATTCTGGAGTACATAAGAGAGCAAAGTTCAAGGTATGTTGACTTTGCGCACGCTAGTTGGCGCGTGATAACCGCTCGCCACAGACACAGTGCCTATGCGGCGGAAAACCTCGCCCCACTACTTTAGAGCCAGCAATCCCTCGACCTAACTCCCCAGCCTGGATCCTCATGATAATGCTGGTTGCCTGTGGGGATCGCAGACGGGCGGTGGCGGTGGAGTCACGAGTCATCCTGGATGTGGTGGTTTGCCCCGCATCGACCTTATTTAGAGTGCGGAGTACGGCGTCGATATTTAGTCTGATGCCATGGAAAACAGTCCATCCAATCGCTTTTCTCTACAGAACCAATGGCTGGCCGCTGTTGGCTTTCGGCGGCCCCAGTATAAAGTGACAGTGTCAACCCCAGCTCCATGTGTGATGGGACCCACCGCAGACTCCACCGACGCACTCCACCCGGCACCAGAACACGCTCGTGATTTTACTATGCTCCAGTGGGAAGAAAATCGCCCTCAGCGGTCTCTGTTGCTATGCGGTCCGCGTGGCCGTTGGTGGATTCCTTCCCCGCATGAATTGAAGGGGCGTTAGGGTGTACTCTAGATGCGATTGCTTTTGGGGTACCGGGGTTGTATTGGGAGGGGCAAGGGGAGGGAGATGCGCGCTCTCGGAGACAACCCCAAAATGCATATATAGTCATTGTCGCCCCTTCCCCTACACAGATAGGTATCCCCAAGATCGGCCATCAACCAGCGTCGCGAGCGTCTCAACCGCCGCCATGCCGTTCTACACTGTAAGCAAACCGACCTTTGAGGTCGCCGGACGCGAGTTCTCGCGCATTACCTGGTGGAATGAACCTGGCATGAGGTCGCTGTACATCTGCCTCGGCGTCGTTGTCTTGACGTCTGCTACAAGCGGTTACGATGGATCGCTCATGAACGGTCTCTAGGCTATGACTTCATGGAAAATGGTGAGCACCCTGCGCTGGCTTTGGCCTTAACCCCGAATACGTCCTAACATACCTCACCAAGTTCGCGTTCCCGATCCGATGAGGCCTCCCGTGGTCTCCTCAACGCCATCATGTCAGTCGGGTCTATCTGCGCGCTCCCAGTCGTCCCATATACCGCCGATATCCTCGGCAGACGTTGGGGTATCATTATTGGCTGCACGATTATGATTCTCGGTGTTGTTCCCCAATCTATTGGTATCAACTTGAAACTGCTCACTGCGTCCCGTTTTTTCGTCGGTTTCGGTGTGGCCATTGCTCATGGAGCTCCCCTCTTTCTTGTTGCGGTGCTTGTCCACCCCCACAACTGTACCTGGTATTTCGGTAGCATTGTTGCATCACGGACTGCATTCGGTACAAACAAGCTGGGACCGGATAATAACTGGGCATGGAGTATCCCCACCATCCTCCAGGCCCTGCCGTCCTGCCTCCAAATGATCTTTATCTGGTACGTTTACCGCAATTTCTCTGGGGCATATTTCCCCCTGCAGTATACATGCTGACAATATGAACAGGTTCGTGCCAGAGTCGCCACGTTTCCTTATCGCCAAGGGAAAGCATGAGCAAGCCTCAAAGTTCTGCTGACGTACACGCTCTCGGCAACCAAGACGATGAGTTGGTGCAGCTCGAGTACACTGAGATCACCGAGACCATCAAGCTGGAGCAGGAGTTCGAGGGTAACGGATAACAGCTGATTAGCACAAAGGGCAACCGCCATCGTCTTATCATACTCATCTCTCTCGGCTCCTTCTCCCAATGGTCTGGAAACGGACTCGTGTCTTACTACATGACCGACGTTTTGAAGCTGGCAGGCCTTGAAGACTCTAACAAGCAGCTTGAGATCAACGATTCCTGAATATTGTCAACTTCATCGTCGCCTTGTTCATGTGCTTCTGGATTGACAAGCTCGGCCGTCGCCCGCTCCCTTACTGCAACTGGAGGCATGCTCGGAGCCTTCATTATCTGGACCGCAACTGCATCAATTGTCGCCAGGACCGACAAGTAAAAACGCAATTCCAGCGCTGCAAATGCTGAGATCGCCTTCATCTTCGTCTTCTACTGCTTCTACAACATGGCCTGGTCTGGTCTGCTTGTCGGGTATGCCGTCGAGATTTTGCTACAGCATCCGTGCCAAGGTATGATACTCCATTAATATGCAAAGCTTGAAACGCCGAAACTAACTTCGCTCTAGGGTATTACCGTCATGTGGCTCGCGATCGATCTCTCGCTCTTCTTCAACGTGATTATGTTTTGAGTGACTTGCCTATTTTTCCAAATAACATTAATCAAGGAAAGGAGAAGGAGGATAAATTTGTTCGCCCTCTAGATTATATACCAGTGATTTAAGTGTAATCAAACAATAGTAGCAATAAAAACACCCCGACGCAAAAAAAGTGATTATCCCACATCACGACAAGCCACAATCACCCACCAAAAGTCATGCCCCCCAAAACCCCATACAAAACCTCCCCCAAAAAACCCCCCAGACCATCACCAACAACCTCCGCACAGAGTACCTTACCGGCGCGCCAAGTATTCGTGGAGGGGTCCGAGGACGGTCTGGGGATCACCAGCCATTTTGGCCGGTCATCCCACGGTCAGTTGGCCCGTGCACCGGTCCGAAGACCGTCCAAAATCCAGGATCAGGCTTCAACCCATACGGTTGAAGCTTTAGAACAGTAGATAGGAAATTGACAGTAGTATGACAGTAAAATTTGCTTACCGTTTGTGATCCTGGGGCCGTTGATGTGATATTGCCGTCGCCGGCCACACTATCATCATGAGTCCATGACGGCGACCGCCAATACTGACTGGAAGCACTCACTCCTCAGTCCTGACACTGTCGGCGTGGAGTGAGGACAGTACTATCACCGTCCTCAGGGTGAGACCAAGGGCGGGCGTTTATGGTTTCCTCGAATGGAACCCATCGTAGCCCTGGATGAGGCAATGGGCGGTCCTGGGACCAGGAGTTGGAGCGGCGGCAAGGAAGCCGCAAGAGTTGAAAGGCACGCCAGCCAAGCAAGAAAGGCAAAGAGGAACTGAAGAATGGCAGACGAAACAGCGAAGGAAATGACAGAGGCAAATGGTGATGGAAACGACAGAGGGAACGGTGGTAGAATCGGTGGTCGAAAACGGCAAGGAGACCGGCGAAGGAGACTGGATGAGGAGACCGGATGAGGAGACCGGATGAGGAGACCGGATGAGGAGACCGGATGAGGAGACCAGTGAAGGAGACTGGCAAAGGAAACGGCGAAGGAAAACGCTGAAGGAAAATGGTGAAGAAGACAGGGAGAGGAAAGCGAGCGAGGAAATTGAAAAATGAGGCCAAGATTCCAAGGGCTGATAGCTTGATAGACACACAGCTATCTGTCATTGGAATCTGTAGAGCTCTTGGGGCCCAGGAAGCCTTCCTTCAGCAGCAGGATAGATCGGCGACGGCGTGGGCTAGCCTCCCATCAATGATGCAACATCTCCCAGGCAATACCCCAGACGCGAAAACTTCCCCGTTCCTTTTCCTCAGTGGCAGAAAGAAGCCCACACCAACAGCAACAACAAGAAATGGATCCCTGCCACGATGAATGGATCTCTAACATCGCCAAATCCTCCCAGGTCAACAGCGGCCACAATGAATGGATCCCAGCTGTGGGCACACAGTTCGAAGTGCCACGAGCGACAGCGAGATCTTCTGGTACCTCTCCAGCCGTGGTTGGTGTCGCCTTCTCCCCTCCAACACTCGGCCTCCCACTGCACTTGCAATCCATGTAGAGGAGCTCCCTCAGTAGGTCATATCCACAGGACATCCTAGCGACAATCCTGGCCCAGGTATCCAGGACCATTCTCTTCGGATCCCAATTGGATTTGGGGGTCTCCCTAAAGCAGCTAAATGCACACCCTTGCTGGCGTTGTCTACTGCAGTAGTTGGCGACTCCTTCAGTTTTCGCGTTTATATGAGGTTTTGAGGGTTCAAAGTGGGGGCCTTTGGATTTTCGAAAAAACGGCTCTAGCATTTCTGAGGGGTGTTTTTAGCCCTGATTTTGGGCTTTTGCTGTGGTCGCCTTGTGGACCTGTTTTAGCAGCTGTCATAGCTCAGTCATAGCTGGCCCGTTGGATTTGATGCTATCACCGGTATGTTTTCCCTGTTTTGCGCAATTCTATTTGTTTACTTTTTAGTGCTTCGTTATTCTGAATTCAGTGTCCCTAGTCGTGGCCATCTACGGCAGATCAAACACACAGGTGAGTTGAAGCTATTGGCCAAGTATTACTCCTATTTTTCCTCTGTCTTATTTAACTGTTTCAAGCTTGCTTTTGTGCTGTCTTTTCTCGCTCTTGCCAACACTCTCTGTTTTCCTCATTTTCCTTTTGATGCGAATCAAACAGCCTTCGATCAAGTTCGCTGTAGCAGACTTGATAGCCCACGTTCAGGTAAGTCTGCTTTATCTTGTCTTTTCTCCTTTTCTTTACTTCCGTTGATCAACCAACAATGCTCAACAGAGCTGGCTTTTCGCAGCTCTGCACGGTTTGTCCCTTGCTCCTCCCCGCCCCTCTCTTGTTTACAACTGCTAACTATCTGGCGCCATGATTGCCCACAGGAATCTCAATGTTCTTACTGCCGGGCGGACCCTGAGCTTCTCGACGCTCTTACGAAGCTTTACACACTGAATATCTCGAACGAAACTTGGAATCCTCGACGCACAAAGGCCGGCGGAACACACCAAAGGATACACTAGATGATAAGACCTAGCGAAGGTCTTGAAAGAGCTTGGAATACAACTTGGCCTGGGGTAATTCGGGATGTGAAGGGGGCGGGGGGTCTGGAGTCGTCCGTTGCCGCTGGTCAAACGGGGAATTACGACATTGGCAAGGGGCGGGGGCAGAATGGGGGGTGAGGGGGTGGTAGATATCTGTATGTAGTAATAATAAGAGTCTCATCTTGATTGCCGGTCTTTTGCCTCGTGAGCTGTCTTCTTGGCGTCTTTTTCAACCCTCCATTCCGACCGTAGGAACGGTCTTTTTACCAATTGGTCTTACTTCGGCCGCCGTTCCAGGACCGCTCCTGGCTCCATCCACATTACGGGTGGTCCGAGCGCCTTTCAGAGTCCCCGGACCGTCCTGGGACCACTCCAAATTTATGTGGCGCGCCGGTAAGGTAATTATCTCCCCTCCCCAATCAACTCCTCTCCAAAACCCTAATCCTATACAGTACATACTGAACCCCCCCCCCCAAAAATAATCACCGCCCCTAATCGTCGGAACCTACTCTATTGTAAGGTCGGTTCCGACGATTAAGTTACGTCGCCCGCACCCATCCCGCCCGCCTGCCTAATCAGTTCCCGAACCGAGCCCAGCCGTAGCTTCCCCATCCAATCGCTCGCGACATTTCTGTTGCGGGCGGCCACGCGCGCAAGCAACATCAGCTCCAGTCCACCTCACGTCCCTCGCAATCTCGACACATCTCATCTCCGATTCTCAATCTCAGCGTATTTCAGTAAACTGCTGTCGCGCGGATTGAATAACGGAGTCGCTGGTTGATTGAGGCATTTAAGTTACGGGCTCGAAAGGAACGACACAGTTGCGGGATTATTGGGCATTGAATAAGAAAGAGCAAGGAAGATAGCAAGAGCAACCAGCAAGACGGCACGATGAGTTTCCTCGGCCTCAAAACGTTCGATGACCCCAATCGGGCGCCTAGCTCGGGGTCATTCGCGACATACATGATCGTTGCGCGTACGTCCTTCTCCTCCCTCCCCTCCCCCTCAAACGAAACCCACCCGCTAACTTCTCCCCCTCAACAGCAACATCCTTCTTTCTCGGGATGCTCTTCTCCTCCTTCCCCTACGACTACCCCCTCCTCTGGACCTCCTCCCCCATCCCCCCCACCTTCCTCTCCGACCTCGAAACCCATCTCCAATTCCTTCACGCCTCCCCGCCTTTGATCCCACGGATCCTGCATTTCCTCATCGCCATCGGATTCGCCGGGTTCCTCTTAAAGCTGTTCAAGCCGTCGGAGGCGAATTTGCTGTTCGATGGTGCCAGTTTGGTCTTATACGTCGTCGGGGTTATCGTTTACATCACGAATATTATTAAGGGGTTGAGGGTGGTGACGAGGGGGGAGTGGGATGAAGTCGTCCAAGTCGCGGATGGGGAGGAGGTGATTGGACGGGAGGATAGTTTGAAGGTGCTTGCGGCGAGTAATACGATCTTGGCGCTGGTGTTGGTGGGTGTGTTGGTGCTGCAGGCGGGGCAGTGGTATGCGGAGAGACGGGAGAGGGAGGAGAGGGCGCAGTTTGAGGCGATGGAGAAAAAAGAGGGGAAGGGGAAGGGAGGCCAGAAGAAGAAGCAGTAGTTGTTTGCGGAGAGTGTACGAGGGTGGGATGCTGGGGTTGTGTTTGTGTATGTGTATGGAGAAGGGGGAGGAGGATAGGGGTCCGGTGGTGCATGGCATGGGCGTGGTTTTGATAGATGTTTTGTTTATTGATCTAATTACCGCTTCTCTGAGCGCTGCTTCATGTGCCCAACGCTGCAATTTTGAGCGAGGTGTCTCTTTTCCTTCTCTGTGCCGTGTATTATGTATGTATGCCTATGTTAAAGCAATAATTAAAATTCCCAAAACGCCTCGTCCATATACTACCATTTTTCCCTGCCCGCTTTCAATGCTCAAATTTCGTAAGGTTTCGACTCTGTAAATGTCGTGTATCGTCGTCCTGTCTAGCACCCCATTCCGGGCATACTGCCCGCCCATGTATATTTCCGCCATGTCTGCCGTCTAGCCATGCGACGTAAATCCTTCATCGGGTCTGGTCTGTCGTATATCGATGCCGTATAAACCTCCATCTTGTCTAGTTCGTGGTCTAGGCATGCCGTATATAATCTCCTCAGATCTATCCAATCCGTGTAGGTCCGTCTACCACACACGGCCTTTCCGACCGTGCTCGTCTATAGTCAGTTTCTCATCCAAGTGTTCTCTCACAACCCCTACCATCACGACACCACCTTCACCTCCGGCGCCCCCCCCTTCGCCGCGGCGGCAGCAGCAACCCTCTCCGCAATCCGTTCCAGCACCTCCCTCTCCCCCTCACTCAACACAAACCCCTGCGGCAACACAACCACCCTCTCCCCCCTCCCCTCTTCCATCTCCTTTTCCACCTCCAACCCCGCCTCCTCCACCCCTCCCTTCCCCAACTCCATCTCCGTCCACCAAAACACCGGATACCTCCTCCCCCCGTGCACATTCCCCCACACAAGCGCCACAACCAACATCGCCGCACACCCCACCTCAATCAGTGCCAACAACCCCCATCCCAGCTCCACAATCTCGTCTGAGGTAACCGCCAACAACGCCGTCGCGCCAGCCGGGGGGTGCACCGTCTTCGTAATGGCCATCACCGCCGCCGCAACCGCCACAGCCAGGGCACCGGCTAGCCATCTCAACCTCTCAAACTCCTCCGGCCCGAGAGAGCGGAAGGCGAGCGCGATTAGGATACCGACTGTAGCTGATATCGTTTGCCCTAGCAACAACGGCCGCGGTTGAGCTAACGGGGAGGCGGGCGTGGAGTACAGCAAAATGGCTGTGGCGCCGAGGGAGGCGATGATGAGTGGGTTTGTGTCTGTCGCCGGGGAGAGGGAGGGAAGGTGGTGGAAGAGTAAAGTGGCGAGGGCGAGGCCGGTGAAGGTCCCTAGGAGGGCGAGGAGCGTTGTGAGGAGCGTTGGGGGGAGGGGATGCGGGTGCGGGCGGTGGCCGAGGAGGTGGGCGAGGGGGCCGGGGAGGAGGTGTAGGCGAGGGGGGGGGATGAAGGGGTTCAGGTGGTGGTCTATGTCGAAGGGTCTACGTGGGAGGGGTGCGGGTGTGGGTGCTGGTGATGGTGATGGTGAGAGCGAGGGTGTGGGTGGGGGGGGTTGGAGAGTGGTTTTTGAGGCCGTTGGGCTAGCGGCTGAGGCCGTGGACGGTGGGGGCGACATGCTCGAGGGGAGCATGGTGAGGGCTCTGATGACATCTGCGGCCTAGTATTTCTCAATCGCGACGGGTGACGGGTTTGTATAAAAAGAAAGAAAAGGAACGCGGAATAGAAGACCCAAGGAAGAAAAGAACGGACGGGTATGTCTGAATATAACAACCCCAGTAGTTGTCTTGGAACAGACAGAAATAGACAGAGTGACCTACCGTAAGTAAGTATGGCCCTCGGTGCTCACTCAGCCTGACAGAAACCGTGGATATAACATCTCCGCGGCACGCAGCCCGTTCTAGAGGGCGAAAAGGGCGAAAAGGGCGAAATGCTCACATCGGCTTGAGTCCGGGATTGGAGTGGTTTTGTGTGGGGTAGCGTGGACAGTGGCCGTTGTGCCGAAGAGGGGTTTTGCCGTGCTCCGGCACTAAAATGCTGGTTTTTTTTGGTAGTGGATGGCGAATGATTCCTTGCATGTTAATTGGCTCTCATCAACCTAATCACATGATCCAAAATATTGTAATCACGTGCGACCACCCCCAACCTACCATCCCATTGGCTCCCATCACCCCAGTCACCTGACCTTCCCTCCCTAACAACCATCTCGGTCCCATCCGCACGTGAAACTCCCCTCCCTCGCTTAGACCTCTTTCCCACTTTTATGCCCCCTTGTACCCGCCAGCCTCCAATTGCATCGGTCCTCAACAATTTTAAGGTTGGGGACGCTAGTGGACCAGCGCCCTCTTGGTGAGTCTGGTGGTGAGTGGTGGGGGTTGGGGGTTGGGGGTTGGGGGTTGGGGGTTGGGGTTGGGGGTTGGGGGAATGAACCGAGGTGGGTTTTTGATCACTCTTTCATATCACGAGAGTGATACGGCAGGTGCAATGGAGAGTAGATCGGGTCAGTTGTTAGCATAGTGCTAGTAGTGTTAGTAGTGTTAGTAGTGCTAGTAGTGCTAGTAGTGTTAGTAGTGTTAGTAGTGCTAGTAGTTAGTGATGCATAGCTCCTGTTGCACATGTCAATCAAAAACGGGCCACACAATTCCGTCTTCGATCCGCGAATCAGGCTGCCGCGTGGTTAGTACGGCGAGTACTCTATGTGAAAGTATCGGATGTATACTCCATATACAGTATCTGAAGGGATGTGTGCCACTTTGTCTGCACTTGTATTATTGCAGACGGTTCTTTTATTCGTCGGTGTGACGCGTCAGCTCTCTTCGACCCAGCCTTGCTGTTCATGCGAGCGATTCATGCATGCCATGTGCTGAGATCCCAGCCCGAAGCGGATGGGTTCGTGGACGAGGAAGTCTCGAAAGTTGAGAAGTAAGGTGGTCTCGGTGGGAGAGAGTTAGGAAGGAGATAGGCTGGTGTTACTTCTCAGCTGGTCCTGTGAGCCATTCCTCTCCTCTTCCAGCCCCAGTTTCGCCACCCTCACTCAGCCCTTTGCAACTGGGCAAATCAAAAATGGGTAGACACCGAGTTTATGTACCTAGAATGGCGTGCAGGAGGGGCCGTCAAGTTCGAAGCTGATGATATGCACTTGTGTACTAGATCGTCGTTAGGCAGCTTATTAGCCAGATTCCAGCTTTCTGGAAAGCTGAGACTATTGTAGACTCCTTGAAAGTCTGCTTCTGGATTTGGGTGAGATCTCCCATGAAGGATTGTAGGTCGTAGGTAATGTCCATGTCTCGTATGGCTGCGAGCACAGCTACTCTATGCCAGTGCTTATAAGGCTGGAGCACTCCCACGTCCAATGGCTGTAAAATATGTGTGAGATGGCTGGGAAAGGTGTATATAATGATGTTGTGTTCTTCTGCTCCAATGATGAAGTCATGGCTTGTATGGCTCACATGAGAGTCGAGTAATAGACCCTTAGGCTACCATTCTAAGAGGCTGTATGCTGTGCAAAGTGCTCTAGCTACCAAAGAGCAAGCTGGCTGTGTAAAAATCCCGAGTCAGAGAGTAGTACTAGCTCCGTGGTACCACGAATCCATATGTATTTTGCCCGGAATGACAAGTACTAGTGGTATGACTTTTCCTACTGCAGACACAGCCTCTACAGTAGGATAGTATAGGCGTCTGGTTTTCAGGACTTGGAGTATAGAGCTCCTTTGCTATTTGTGGTACCATAACTCTCGCACCTCCTAGAATTCCAATCCTAAAGCCTGCTTCATCCATATTCCAAATTGACTCTGGCTCTACATGGCGTTCAAGTACAAACTCAAGGTACTCTTTAAACCAACGTGTAATAGTAAGCTCATCTTGAGCTTTCGTACGCTATAGCAATAGGCTTCATAGTAATAAAGTGGTAGTCTTGAAGCCCATTCTTAATATATTTAGTAAGCCAGCTTGGTGATGGCGGAGGCTGTAGGTGTAGGCTCTAGAGCTGGCAGACTAGAGAAAATATCATATTTCTAGTAGCTCTAAGCCTAGGTAATACTGCTTAAGGATCCATTTCTTAAGGGCTTCTAACTGTGTAGTAGAGAGCACCTTATTCCTACCACCCTTAGGTGGTAGGTCCCGAGCACGCCGTTTAAGGCTCATCCGTAGCCTACAAGCCACTCACGGGCATTTGATATAGGAGTCCCCTCCATTAAATGAATTGTATAGGTTTACAATATAAATTACTATCTACATCTATGGAAAATGTTTTGTTACGGAGTAGCGGTGAACAGACGACTTTTTCTTGTTCGTTGCGTGGTGGAAATAGCGTGGGATGGATAAGTGTAGAGAAAAGATAGCGTGCTACGAGTCGAGTAACTCTACTTCCAGAAACTGTAACTGCAAGGTTGTGCCAAGCCAAAAAGGGAGGGGGGTATGGTGGTACACACATCAGCCAATAAATCTCCCCCACACCCAAACACCCGCCTGAGCTTTTTCTCATTTTGAAGAACGCACCTTCAACCCCATCTCCCCCCTGTCACAGAACCTCTCCTTCTTCTTCTTCACCGTCTGTGAACAGTTTTCTGGGTGAAATTGTAAGTTCGAACCTGCTTTGCCCCTGGCGAGTCAATTGATTCAATCTCGAGATTGGCCATTCGATTAGATCTACCGCTAACGACTCCCGCTAGCCAATCCACAGCCCCGGGTTCCTGAGTTAGAAGCCTCGGACCCAGAAGACCAGACGAGAATCGGACCAAAATTTCCCCAACAAACGCCTCCACGCCCTCCGACCCGCAGGGAGCACCCGACTTATAAAAACATCACCCGCAAGCCCCTTCACCTCCTCTCCAGCCTTTTCAAGCCACCCCGAGACTCACACATACTCCCTCACCATGGCCTCCTCAACAGCCATCCCCCGCCGCGACGGCCTCCGCCGCACCGCCGCCGCCGCCGCAGCAGCAGCCGACTCCTCCCCCTCCACCGCGGACGTGTCTCCCACCGACAGCCCGCGCGCCTCCCCCTCCTCCTCCTCCCTCTCCTCCATGTCGTCCGTCGACAACGATGTCGCCGCCAAGTCCTCAACAAAGCTGATCGACACCTACGGCAACGAGTTCCAGCTCCCCAACTACGCGATGGGCGATATCATCCGCGCGATTCCCAAGGAGTGCTTTAAGCGCAATACCGCCCTGGGATTATACTACGTCGCCCGCGACATCGCCTGTCTCGCCACGACATTCTACCTCTTCCACACTTTTGTGACGCCTGACAACGTCCCATTTACCCCTGCCCGTGCTGCGCTCTGGGCGGTCTACACTGCGATCCAAGGTCTCTTCGGGACGGGACTGTGGGTGCTGGCCCACGAATGCGGACACCAGGCTTTCTCGCCTTCGAAGGTCGTTAATGATACCGTAGGGTGGTTCTGCCACTCTGCACTCCTGGTCCCCTATTTCTCCTGGAAGATCTCGCACGGGAAGCACCACAAGGCTACCGGGAACATGGAGAAGGACATGGTGTTCGTCCCCAAGTCGCGTGAGGTGTACGCGAACCGCATTGCGAAGTTTGTGCATGAGCTTGATGAGTTGACTGAGGAGACTCCCATCGCCACTCTGTTGCACTTGGTTGGGCAGCAGTTGGCGGGGTGGTGGTTGTACCTCTTTGCTAACGTTACTGGACACGATCACCACGAGAACCAGAAGGAGGGACGCGGGAAGGGGAAGAAGAATGGGTATACGACTGGAGTCAACCATTTCAACCCCGCTAGCCCGCTCTACGAGGCTAAGGACGCGAAACTCATTGCCCTGAGCGATATTGGTGTTGGACTCACCATCGCTGCTCTTGCCTGGGTGTCGAAGACGTTTGGAGCGGCGAATATGTTTGTTTGGTACTTCATCCCGTATCTCTGGGTTAACCACTGGCTTGGTATGTCTTCCCCATGAACGAACCCTCCCAAAATACCAATTAAAAACTAACATTCTCGTCCAGTTGCCATCACCTACCTCCAACACACCGACCCCTCCCTCCCCCACTACCAACCCAGCTCCTGGAACTACGTCCGCGGCGCCGCCGCCACCATCGACCGCGACTTCGGCTTCATCGGGCGCCACCTCTTCCACGGCATCATCGAGACCCACGTCCTGCACCACTACGTCTGCACCATCCCCTTCTACAACGCCGACCTGGCCTCTGAAGCCATCAAGCCTGTTATGGGCCGACACTACCGCGCGGATGTGGAGGGTGGGAGCTTGGGGTTCTTGAAGAGCATTTGGAAGAGCGCGAGGTGGTGTCAGTGGGTTGAGCCGAATCAGGAGACGCTTGGGAAGGGGGGGGAGGCGGAGGGGGTGCTGTTTTTTAGGAATAGGAATGGGTTGGGGGTGCCGCCGGCGAAGGTTGCTAAGGCTTAAGGTTGCTAAGGCGAATTGGGGGTGGTGAGGGGAGGTTGAATAATGTGTGTGCGAGGTGGAGAATGAAGGCGAAGAGAAGAAAGGAAGAGGGAGGAGGGGACGCACGCAGTGATGATGAAGACGGGATCTGAGCTTTTTATATGGGGCTTATTTTCGCAGTTTTTTTTTTGTTATACAGACAAGACGGCTGATGATGAAAAGAAAGATTTCGGGAGTTTATGGGAGCATATCGCTTAATTACAGAAACTGCTAAAGAATCTTTCTGATTTTTCGACTGGTATTTTTTTGCCTTCTTCTAAATCGTTTTTTTGCTTGTTTGTCCCTGAGATTTGGATTGTTTCTTTTGGTCTTCTGCTTGTCAGTTTCTTTTCTGTGCAAACTTTTTTTGGACAGCGAGAGAAACACAAGATGTCTGATTTCTGTTTAATGCTCCTTTCTGCGAATGAGCGGTGCAAACGAGGGGTGGATGAGGAGATAGGAGAGATAGAGGGCTAAAGTTGAATAGGGGGAGGGGAACAGATCAGGACTTTCGCTCCGCTCCGTGCCGTGCCGTGCCGAAAGGGGCCGGGCAGGGCTGTGTGGTGTCTTGGGGAGACCGGGAAGAGGGAAGAGGTGGATATATGATAGATGATAGAACGAGAAATTGATCTTTATTTCCATCAGTTGTGAATTTGGCCACCCTACATGTGGCGAGAGTGCATTTTTGCATATGAATGAATGAGTGGGTGAGTGAGGGAGGGAGGGGGGTACTTCGGGGTGTAGAAAGGTGGGTTGGGTTTCTTGCGTCGCGGTGATGTTCTCACCACCCTTTCTTGTTACGATACCAGTTCATGCCGTCGCACTGCTCTCACCTCCCCATTCTCACCGCGTCCACACGGTGACGCACCTTTGCATATGAACGAGTGAGTGAGCCTTCTCGGGGTGTAGAAACACGATTTACTCTTTCGCCTAACGGGGGCCAAGCGTCTCAAACAACCGAGTCTCTGCGAGCTCTTCGAGTTTGTCACCTTCTGTTGCCGTTGAGACTGTCGCGTGCTGGTGGCGAGACAGCACCAAATCTCAACGACAATGCTGAGCCTGGATTACTAGATCCCAATGCCATCAAGGACGCCGGTATACCAACACATACAATATTGCTAGCCTTGAGCAGCAAGGAGCCGAGGGGCAAACTACAGCAGATGCTTGACATTCGTGCCCAAGGGACCTGAATCGCACAGTTTGTATTATTGTTGGATTGAAGAAGGGGTTTCATATTTCGTGCTGCTCAGCGAGGGGAAGGGGAGGGGGAGCTCAGAACAGCTGGTGAGCCTGGAATCAAGGTTTACTTACATATTTTGTCTTGGGGAAAAGTGGGAAGAGTGGAGAGGGGGGAAGAGGGGAGAGGAGAGGGGGGAAGAGGGGAGAGGGGGGAAGAGGGGAGAGGGGGGAAAGGGAATATGATGGACGATAGAATTAGAAGTTGTTCCTTCGTTTTCATTCACTCACTACTCCACCCTGGCATGTTCGCCCCATGGGATATCTGTCTCGATAAGGGTGGCGTGAGAATACACCTTTTCATATGATAAGACTTACAGAGATCGGCGGCAAAGCATTCATAGACTCGGCGGCTAGATTTTTCAACCCCGCGACCATGCAAGGCTCTCACGCCTTCATCAGGTTCTCGATATGGTGTATTTAGACCCGCGATGATGCTCTCGTTACGCCTTCTTCTCGTCGTCATGCTCCCTCTCACCTCTTCCACTTCTCACCGTTCAAAATTCTCTCCACCACCACCCTCCGTACCAACACCTTCATATCCTTACCCTTCCCATCTCGGCGCCCGTCCGAACTCCCCAGACTCCGCATGTTTGACAGACTTGTCGTGGTGCCCGAGGAACATACATACATCCCGCAATTTCTGTTGTTGTTAGACTGAAGCATTGCCTAGGTGTAGACTCGGAATTTTATATTTTCATGCTGCTTGGTGAGGGGAGGGGAGGGGTTGTGGGTGGTAGGTGCCGTTTAAGCGAGCCTTGGCAATTCATCTTGAGTTTATCCTAGCGTTCCCCCTGACCTGTATCCTCGTGAGTCTGCAATCCTGTTTTACTGTTCGGCGCTGGTGTTGTTGTCTCACCTCGGCAAAGGGATGGTGGGGGGTGGGAAACACGGGTCACGGTGGTGGTTTTGGGGTGAGACAGATATCTTGGACGCGTAATAACGCCAGATAGGGGGGGATATATAGTAACTTACCGTATCTTACGAGTACATACATATTGGATTTCAAGGGGGGTGATTGCTTCGATTGCTTTCCCGATGCTCCTCCCATCGCGAGTGGTGCATACCCCCGACCAGCCAATCAGCGTGTCGCAGGACCTGAAAACGCCGCCCTGATGGGTGCTGTGGTTCTCTGGCTGTGGGTCGCTTCAAATCTCGCTAACGCGTAGTACGTACTCCCCTATTCCTTATTCGAGACTAGCTTTCCGCTCGCTTGCCTCCCCTTCGGACCTTTTAGCACGCGCTCACTTACGGAGTACTAACTTACTAACTTCGCTAACTTACGGAGTACTAACTTACTAACTTCACTAACTTACGGGGTACTAACTTACTAACTTCACTAACTTACGGAGTACTAACCTACAGATTTGGACAGGGACAGACACCACCGTCTACCCGGAGCGTTAGCCGCACACCCCCTGATGGTAACGCCAATTTACACGTATTTACTCCCGCTTTTTCTCATTTTACGATTCACCCCCCCCCCCCGCCCCCAAACAACACTACCTCTCCCATAAACACCAGTCCCGGTCCTTTCCATAGTAAACAAGTACAAGTACTTTCTACTCCATCCACCCCCCTCCCCCTTCATCCTCCCCTCACGTTCCTTTTCTGTTCCCTCAATCTGCGGTCCCCCTCTTCTTCCTAACCAAGTCATTTCATTCTTGTCCTCTCCACAATCTCTACCAACTTCCTCACCTCACCATTCTATTTCCACCCAACTGAGAGTCTTGACTCTCTATCACACTCCTTTGGAAGGTCGCTGTCGGTGAATACACTCTATTACACCCTTTGATCAGGAAATTCTTTTCACCTTCAACCTTTCGTCGTCGTCAACTTCACCTTTGAATCCTGAGATCAACAACACCAGCCGCCTGTCAACAACCTGTCCGTTATCAATCCCATCAACCCAATGTGAGTAGACCTTCTCTCCTTTCCTTCTACAGATGAATATGATTCAACTCCATGCATCAATCGCGCTGGATTGTTTTCCAACGCGCAAACATTCTCAATTGCGAACAAAGCGCCTCCATACAACCAGAAACTGACAACTCCTTCTTCGCGTCCAGACCAAAGAACTACACGAACCCTTCACAATGAAGCTCATCACCATCGCCCTTGTTGGCGCCTCGGCCGTGGCCGCGGCTTCCCACCGCCACGTGCATCGCCATGCTCCCCACGCCCACGGCTCCGCTGTCGCCAAGCGCGCCGACAAGACCGTCATTGAGGACGCCGTCGTGACCAAGTACGAGATGAACGGCAAGGAGCTCAACGCCGCGAAGGTCGAGCAGGGTGTCAAGGACGGAATCTACATCCTCATCGACGACACGACCTCTGCTGCTCCTGTTGCAACCAAGGCCGCCGTCGCCGCTGCCGGTGAGTTCTTGGAGCAGAAGAAGCCCACCACCCCAGTGGCTCCATCAACCACCGCGACGCCACCGCCTCCCCCACCGACCACGAGCGCCGCCCCTCCCGTGTCGACCCCGGCTCCTTCTTCGGGAGGTGGTTCCGGTGCCACCGGTATTGATGCCGACTTCCCCAGCGGAACCATCGACTGCGGCCATTTCCCCTCCGAGTACGGCGCTATCGGGGCCAGCTGGCTCAAGCTCGGCGGCTGGATCGGTCTCCAGATGACCCCCAGCTTCACCCCCGGCGACGCCGCGATCCACCTGATCAACACCGGCATTGCTGGAGACAACTGCAGCAAGAACTCCTTCTGCTCGTACGCCTGCCCACCCGGCTACCAGAAGTCCCAGTGGCCCTCTTCCCAGGGCGGAACCGGCCAGTCCATCGGCGGTCTCTACTGTAACGCGCAGGGCAAGCTCGAGCTCACCAACCCCACTCTCGCGAAGACTCTCTGCATGAAGGGAACCGGCGAGGTCAAGGTCAAGAACACCATCGGCCGCAACGTGCCCATCTGCCGTACCGATTACCCCGGCACCGAGTCTGAGACCGTCCCACTTAACACTCTGCCGGGCCAGGAGTATGAGCTCACCTGCCCCGACGCCAACAAGTACTACAGATGGGGCAACGCCGCTACCTCCGCGCAGTACTACATCAACCCCGCTGGATCCCCAGTTGAGGATGCGTGCCGCTGGAACGAGGCGGGTTCTAACATGGGTAACTGGGCCCCGGTCAACCTTGGTGTCGGAAAGGGACCGACTGGTCAGACTTACATCTCCATCTTTGCCAACAAGCCTACCAACCCGGATGGAAAGCTCAACTTCAACTTGGAGATTGTGGGTGATGTTAGTGGGAAGTGCGCGTACATTGATGGCCAGTTCTATAACAATGGTGTGGTTGACCCAAGTGGTTGCACTGTAAGTCTTATTCCCCTTCTTCATATCACTCCACAAAATAGCCCCCTAACACAGCTCAGGTCCTCGTCACCGGCACTGCCATCTACAAGATCTACTAGATTCCTCTCTAGCTTCTTGTACCAACACTTCTACCATCGCGCTACCAGTTCGATTTCCAGTACAGCCATCCCAAGTCTGCTTATTTGTCGAGACATTCCTGAACACGCACGTACATAATAAGATGTCCCTGCAACACACAAACTAGTTTATAGCAGTTACATGAAATGATGATTCTTTCTAAAACACACTACACTGCAATTCGACTCTAATTTAATGCTTCTTGTTTTTTGCTGTTTGCTTTTTTGCTGTTGCGTGTTGCTGTTTGCTTGAACTGATGAGAAGTGTGATGTAGATCATCGACGTGGCATTGTCTGGCGTTTTAAAGATGCGTGGTGCGTTGAGGGGTGATGCGATGGCTGTGGTTTCTGCGTGCTCATAGACAACGTGCTGGGAGAAGTGATGTAGTTGAATAGTTACTGTGACTATTACTATATCTACTCCTCTTCTCCTCCCCTCCCTTCCCCTCCCTTCCCCTCCCCTCCCTTCCCCCCCCTTCCCCTCCCACCTCCATCCATGATAATCGCCCATCCATCCAGTCCTCCATACCCAACATCCCCCTCATCCCCTTACTACCCATACCCAAGCCCGCCGCCATTCCCTCAGTGCACAAATCTCCACATCCCCAGAACCAGATTTCTACTAACTCCTTGATGCGTACCCCCCCTTCCACGAGCGCTGATACTGACGACAAGGGGCACACAGTCTATAATCCTCGCCCGGACACCGACTTTCCATTTCCTGCGTCTCGATCGAAAAGCTGATAATTCATTTTTCATTAGCTGCTGGCTTCTGCGCTTAGTTGAGGTGGCTGTGATTTTTTCTAGGACGGCGGGAGGGGTGCGTGCTGTGCGAGTGGGGGAGGTTGTTGCTGTTGTGAGCTGTTGCTGTCGTTACTCCTGTTGCTGTCGGTCCTGTTGTTATCGTCGGTCCTGTTCTTGTTGCTCCTCTTCCTACCCCTCCTATCCACATCTCTCCTATTCCTACCCCTCGTCCCGTAGTCCCATCTCTCCCACGCCATCACCCCTTCCACCACCAACCCCCGAGCTAAGGTTGGTGTGTAGTAGATCAAGTGTCGGATGCGTAACCACTCTGACACGCGTTCAAATTCGTCTTTTTATCGCTCTTGCACAAGTTATTTCACACCCATCGAACCCATTCTGCGTGCACGGGGAGCTTATCTTGGGCTGAGTTGAATAAGAAACCCCCCCCGACGCCTGTCTTTCCTGTTCGTTCCTCGGCTCTCTCGCCATTTTTTATACCTCAGAGACGGCGTGGTTACATAACGGCGACTTCATTCTCTTGTTGGCTTTGCTAGCTGCACAGACCATTGATGGTGATTATGGGACGCGGGAATCGGGGGGTAGGGGGGGGGTTACGATTTAGGTTTGGATGGCGGGGGTGGGTGGTGCGGGATTGTTAATGGTGATCCTGTTGCTGTTTGTGCTCTTGCTGTCGCTCACTCCTGCTGCTGTCGTTACTACTATTGCTGTCGTCACTCTTGCTATCACCCCCTATTGCTGTCACCCATTTTACCATCCGTCTCCCCTCCCTCTCCCCCCATCCCTGCTCACTCACACACATCCACTAGCACCCCCTCGCTGCGGCTCACATAAAGCTTGATTGATCTGAGCTGGGTTATGACTTTGATGGCAGGGATGTGATATCTTCGCCAGCAAGTCGGCTATATACATGCATCTCGACTACGGATCTCTAACCTGCTGGCAGTGCGGGCGTTCTTCAACAGCAAACAAGATGACAGCACAACAACTGCTGGCTCTATAGTAACTTCAATTGTGGGATATAGGTATATTGGTATACTATAGTAAGGTAGTTTTCCCGCATACTCGTCGTCGTTTACTTCCTGAGGAAGGGGCGTGGGCGGGTAGGTGGGTTCATTATGAATCCACAAGGCTTTCTATTTACTACCACTGTCCATCATACCAGACTCGTACTATTCTCAAAATGAATTTGTGTGACGAACTTCGACGCCTACTCCGTATATGGACGGGGTGGTCATGATTCGTACTGGGATAGTGGGCTGGGGAGGGGTGAGGATGTTCTTGTCGCTGTTATTCTGCTGTTGTCGGTCCTGTTGCTGTCACCCATTCCCCTGTCGCCCCCTTTGTGCCGTCAAACCCACCCCGCCACTGCACCTGCATCCCACCAGCATAAATACAGGCAGAAAAAAGGAGAGAGGAACGTACGCTGCCCCGGTCGTGCACACACTGATTAAACCCGTGGTTGGCATCCCCAACTGCCTGGATATACCACGCGGTGGTGTTTTGAGGATGTGTGGCGAGGATGTGTGGCCAGAACATCGTACAGACGTGCGAGGTAAATAATTATGCCCCCCGCCTCTGTGAGATCCGGGTAGTAGATGGACTTAGTAATTGAGGCGATATTATGGGGAGGAGTTGTTATAACTACACTATCACTTATAATACCACAAACACAAAGGGCTGATAGGCATCGTGCTGGGAGAAGTAAAAGAGTTCTACGGTTACTACCCCTACTTCTATTTCCCCATCCCTCCTGCCACCCCCCACTAAAATAGAAGCTCTCCTCGCCCGCAACGCATAAACTTGATCTGTGGCGTTCTTTCATCTCTTGACATGCGTAAGCTCAATCCCACTCACGCACACACCGATGTCATCTACTGGTATCCCACACACGTACTTCCGCAACATCTAGAACAGCCAGTCCACTATGCGGGGGGGAGAGGCAAGCATATATGTCGCAAGAGTCCGAAGAAGGGTCCTGCAGATACAGGGTCAAGACTTTTACCAGGGCAGCGACAGGTGGAATTCCGCCGTTAGTTCGGAACCACCCTTTCGAAGGCACCAAAGACCCAGACTCGTTCTTCAGTTGGGGTGGTGGTGAAAAGGCGATGGTGGTGAGGGGCTATCGACAGCAAAAGGGGCATCGACAGTAAGAGGAGTGTCGACAGCAACAAGAGTAACAGTAACAAGAACACCAACTAACCTTTCCTTCACAGCTATAGCGTACATGATATATACCTGTTACCGAGCTTGTTGGTCTAGCTTATTCGCATGTATCGTTTCTGCGTGTCGTCGTAACCCTGGTCATGACTGGTAGTGGAAGGACGATTGGGTGGGCGGCAGCTTTATATGCCATGATGCATGGGATTCTGCCATATCGGTGTTTTTTGCACTCTGATTTTGGATCATCCCCTCTTGTGTGCGAAGTTGACGAGGAGGTTACGCCTTACCACAGCAGCTCGAGGTTTGCGTTGCAGATCTACTTATTAGATGCTGTAAATCTGCTCGTGTAGTTGATCAGCAAGTATGTAAGTTATAATTCCCGGAGAAAATCCGTATAGTACCACATACCACAGCAAAGAACTTTCTCGGCTTGCACGCCCATCCACAACACCAAACACGAAATACGTCACATCCAGCATAGCCACACACTCCCTCACAGACGCATAAGTTTTAACTGATTTAATTCTTCTTCCTTCACCCACCATAATCACCGGACCCCGTTATCGGGCCCTACTCGCAGCCGGTCCCTTCGGCGGCTCCCTAACCAGCATCCTCACCTTCCCATCCCCAATCTCATGCCCCTGCGCCAACAGATCCTCCGGTTTCTGCTGCACCTTCCGCACGTCCTTCTCCACATTCCCATTCGCATTCGCATTCTCCTTCCCAGCCGCTGCCTCCGCCCCACCACTCCCACCACTCCCCCCAACACCCCCAACACCCCCAACACCAGCAGCACCCTCCCTCCTCTCAAAACTCCTCGCATCAATCCCCAAAATCCCCCCAACATTATTCCGATCCCCCGGCACCGAAAACTCTCTATACGCATACCTCCACTCCCCCAGGAACCCCCTGATGGCCTTCCCAACCTTATCCTTCCCATTCTTGCTATGGTGTCCCGTCCCCGTAATCGCATACACGGGCCTCGCGCTCGCGGCGTGCTCAACGAGGACCTTCTCCAGGTAATCGACGGCTTCTTCGGGGTGCAGGCCGTGCAGATCGACGTAGACTTCTGCGGTGGAGGTGGAGGTGGCGGAGGGCTTGTTGCGGGATTCGTAGAGCTCGCGAGCTGCTTCGCGGTGCGCTTTGCGCATGAGGTCGTTTTCGGATTGGCCGCGCAGGCTGAGGGCTTTGGCGGCGCGGGCGTCGTTGCGGTTCCATGCTTGTGCGGCACTGTGGGGGGTGTTAGTAAAACTGCCTTCATTTCCTCACAGGATATTTTGTATTTTTGGGACAGGGGTGGGAGGGGGCTTACCTCTGCAAAAACTTATTCCTCAAGCCACCGTGCTTAATAGCATCCGACCTGGCCTTGAGGTACGCCTTATTCGCCTTCTCGCCCGTCTCGAGCCATGGAACGTGCTGCGGACTCGGGATCGCCTGGGCCGCGGCGGTGTTCTCGCCGTTGCGCATGCTGGAGGAGCTGCCGTTGCGGCCGAGCTTCTTGATTTCCTGGCGCAGGGCGCCGGGGCCGGGCGAGGGTGACATCTTGACGACTTCAGCGAGGGAGCTGGGGACGGGTGGCTCTTTGGCGTGGTTGCTGCGCTTGCCGTGGTGCTTTTTGCCTCCTCGTGTGGAGACTGCGCCGAGGGAGGGGAAGGCTTCGTTGTCGTCTAGAGCTGGTGCTGCGGGGGTGTCTCTGGCGCGGCTTGTTGGTCTCGATCTGTTGTTATTCGAGCCGTCGCTTGCGTAGCCCTGGAGGGCCTTGAAACCAGTGGGGGGCGTGAAGCCCATATTTGAGTAGTTAAAAAAAGCTGCGGTTTGATAAGAGTTTCCCCACTGATCTGGCGTTGGAGGCTGGAGCGATGGGAAGCTATTAGGGTCCTGAAATTGTATATTTGGCTGCGCATTTTGCAGCGGTGGCGTGCAGCTGCCGTCGAGGGCTAGGCGGTTCATGAAATGGGATGGGTCATGGGAAAATATGCATGTGTCGCCGGCGAGGCAATTGCCCATCACCCAGTATCTTCAGGGGTGTCAGTATTAAAACCAGGATGGTATAAGGGCTAACTTACTTGCAGATATGGTTGCTCAGGTCGTGACTAAACCGGCAATCCGCACGGAGGCACGACCCAGTCGAAAGCCAGAACCTACAAACGACACCGTTTCGCTGCTGTCCTGCAGGAGTGAGCGGTCTCGCGAGGTCTGGTGTCATAGATTTGCCAATCAATATGGCTTTAATTTCATTCGCATGGTTCTGCTGGTTCACGCTATCGGTAGGCTGCCCTTCCATAAGAGCGGCGATCGCTGCGCTGAGATCGTAGCCATGAATTGCTAACGCTACTTTGAGCTCTTCGTCTGACTTGGTTGGGCCAAGAACTGAGCGAAGCATATCCATAGGGCTCATATCTGTCTGCTGGGGCGGCTGTACAAACTCAGCAGCAGCAGCATTGAGTCCGCTATGGCCGCCACTTGCATTTGAGGATGCGGCAGCAGCAGCAGCATCGTCGTTGACAATCCAATCGACATTATCGCTCCCAAGGTCACCATATATATCTTGTGTCGGGCCCGTATCTGTTGGGAATTCGTATGCATTGAGGCTAGGACTATGAGGTATCGCAGGGCTGGAGAAGTTTAGCCTTGGCGATGGGCGAGGGGAGGTAAAGGGCGAGTTGATGCTCGATGGCTTGTTTCGGTACGACGAAGGCACGAATCCCGGGGGCACCAGGGGGCTGACCCCTAAACGGGGCGACGAGTTCGCGGAGGGTCCATTTGGCCGGGGTATTTGCCATGAGGCGGGTGATGCTCGTCTCAGGACTGTATGGCGCATTAAAGGAGGGGAGTTTGTATTTGTTGAGCTCTCGCGGTGGCGCCAAAGGATATCTAGGATCGCATTTTCTAGGCTGCTGCCAGTGAGGCTCGTCTCTTTCTTTAGAAGCTCCTCGAGCTTATCTGTCTTGTCTTCATCTTCGATGGTTGAGTCCCGGAGGATGGGGAGGCAGAGTTCGTAGGCCTCTTCGGACACCATGGTGCCGGGCCGGTCTTGAAGCTGGGTATTAAAACGAGGAGGCTGTGAGTATTAACAGGGCCGTCAACGGCCTCTGGGTGAGAGTCAAGTTGTGAGAAGAGGTGGTGCCAACCAAGGTAGGAGGTTCACGATGCCCAGGTGGGTAGCTGCGTGGAGGATGTTGGAAGTGATGACGATCGTTGCCCGGAGAAGGAGCCAAGTACAAAAGATAATAGGCCTGTGATGACTGCTCCGTGACGCGACGGCTTGCAGCAGTGACACTATAGTGAAGACGCCGGATATCTCGTCACATTGTCGACATGGACTGTTGGTAGGCGATATAGATAGATAGAAGGTCTGCGGGAAGTCGGAGGGGGTAGCGCGGACAATGCGCGGACAATGCTGGGGGGATGGCGGTGATCTCAGATGTGATGGGCTCAGCTCACCACAATTAGTACATCTCCGTAGGGCCATTTTAGCCGCAGACACCAGGTACTCTCTCACCATCTGTACCTGCACCCCAAAAACCCCACCTATGTGTTTGTTTACTGTGGTACGATGGACAGATGGGGATCAAGAGGACAATTAGAACAAACGAGTATAGTTTCAACAGAGGCATTATTAGTTGTTAGATGACAGCGGGTCTGGGGAAAGGCCTGGAATATGTGATACATGTCCTTTACGGCACAGTAGTAGAGGGACTCGACTCGTAATTGCCGAAGAGGGATACCATACTACAAATACTGTACGCAGGGCGCAGGGCGATAAGTGATATGAATAGAAAAAGAAGCACGCCGGCCGAGAGTCCCCACGAACGGAACACGGGATGTCGTCCTCCCCAAGCATTTGACATTTGACGCAAAGACATCCATGACGTCTCATGTCAGTCAGCCTCACGAGCCTCACGAGCCTCACCAGCCTCACCAGCCTCACCAGCCTCACCACCAATCCACTCCCTCCCTCCTCCATCAGCTCGAAAGTGGAAGTGAACACGATCACACAGGGAACGCCAATCAACCGACGCCTCTCTAAGACATGCATCCCTAATCAGGCCTTCATGGTCCCTCAGGAATCCCCTTTCTCTTAGCCGCCTACGCGCATCGACCTTTTTCGCTCTCGCCCCGTCCTCGTCGTTGTCCTCGACAATTGTCGAAAACCCAACCCCCACGTTATTTCCGAGCGCGACGAACGCTGGGAATCGCATCGAGACGAAAGGATATAAGCGCGACGGCTTCTTCAATGATCTTGTAATACCAGCGACAACACATACAAGGACACCCTCCACCACTCCACCACCAACCCGCCTTCCCCGGCCCATCCGGCGCGCACCTCAACCATGTCAACCCACGACACAACCGCCTCGCAACACCTCCTCCCCTCCCCCTCACCCCCTTATCCCCCTCTCCCCCGGCCTCTCCCCTCGTCTCCCCCCGCCCCTCCTTCTCCCGCCGCCTCCGCTCCAGCGCCTCCCACCGCCGGCGCCCCTCCCTCTCCACCCCCTCCACCTCCACCACCACCTCCTACCTCCTCAAAGCCAAGATCCTACAAGACAAAGCCCTGGCGCTCTGGGCCTCCGCAACCCTAACCCAACGCATCCTCTTCGTCGGCGCCTACATCTTCTTCACCACCATCGGCATCCTCTTCATCGTCTACTCCGAGTCCCTCTTCGCCGCCTTGGCCCCTGTCGCCGTGAAATGGCGCGCCCTCTCCGGCGGATGGCTCATCAGCTTCGCCCTCATCTTCATCACTGCTTTCCCGCCCGTCATCGGCTACACCACCGCCCTCACCATCGCCGGCTTCGTCTACGGCATGAAAGGGTGGTTTATCTGCGCCAGCGCCAACGTAATCGGATCCTACTGCTCCTTCCTCGCCAGCCGCACCATTCTCTCAAAATACGTGCACCGTCTCGTCGGGGAGGATAAGCGCTTCGAAGCCTTCGCATCCATCTTAAAGCACGACGGCATCAAAGTCCTCGTGATGATCCGCTTCTGCCCGCTCCCCTACAGCATCTCCAACGGCGCCATGTCCACGCTGCCCACTGTGCACCCGCTCGCTTTCACAGCCGCGACCGCGATGGCGACGCCGAAGCTGCTTATTCATGTTTTTGCGGGGAGTCGGCTGGCTGCTATTGCCGAGGCGGGGAGCGAGATGGATCGTACGACTAAGATTGTGAATTATGTCTCGATGGCTGTTTTTGGGATCCTGGGCGCGGTGCTGGGGTTTGTGATTTATAGACGGACGATGGCTAGGGCGCGGGAGCTGGAGGCGCAGGCGATTGGGGGGGGGGGGGCGTGGGAGGGGGATGAGGAGGAGAGGGTTGGTCTGGCGGATCCGGTGGGGTTCGATGAGGATGATATTAGTTTGTGGGATAATGATGATGCGGGGTATAGGGATGATTGGACGGATGAGGAGACGAGGGTTGAGACGGATGGGGGGAGGTGAGGGTGGGTTGTTGGGAGAAGGGCCGTGGGGAAGGGGTTGTAGAGATATGGGTGTAGATTGTGGCTTGAAGTGGTGTTTGGGGTTGGCGTTGGCGTTGGTTTGGATATCCCGAATCATCATTGAAAAAGATCGATAGAAGCGGGTTCTGGTTTGTACGGCATTATTATGACAGATGAAGAGATAAACGAAGAAGAATACATATTTCTGCTGTATAGCTACAAATAGACGGTTTAGATGAAAGGTTCTTAGAGAAGTGTACATTAAAGGCTAAGCTAAACAGCTAAATACGTGCGCCGGTCTTCTTCCCATGGAAGCCCCCGTAAGAATCAACGCTCAAACCCATGCTACAATCAAAATAGAATGCTAATCGCTATCAAAAAAAAATCTACGCAACGTCCGCCTCGTTGCTTCCATCATCTCGGTTGGTTGGCCCCAGCCTGCCACTGCTGCATCAATGCCATCGCCTGCTCAACAGGGTATCCGATGAACACAGGCCCTGTGAACAGCATCTGCGGTCCACCGTTATTACCCGTCGTCGTGGCAGCCTCGGGCTTCGCTATGAACGCTGGCTGCGATGTCGGTTCCGGCTGCGGCTGGCTCTCGTATGTTGCGCCGAACCCCGAGTCTTGCGGTGCTACGGCAGGGTGGTCTTTGGGAAGCGGTGCATTTGGGTCCATGTTCTGGCTGAATGGGCATTGCCCCGTTGGCTTCGCCTGAGGGATATCCTCTCGATCAGACGATGCAGGTTCCTCTGTCACTTCTTCCGCTTTTGCGCCGTGGCCGAACGGGCTCACCGGCGCCTGGCCGTCAAAGTCGCGGGTAATGGCGGGGGCGGATGGCGAGGCTTGTAAATCGTTCTCGGTGTAGTGAGGAGCAGGTGGGAAATCGTATGGCACTGAAATACCCCATGGGCGGCTCGGAGACTCGCCAACCCTGACCTCATTCAATGGCCTGTCGTATCGCCCCTCGCGCTCTTCTTCATGCTCGGTAGGGACGTTGACCGTTGCTTCGGCAGGGTCGACGCCTTCTTCACTGACAGCCTTCGCCCAGCTTTCGACCCGTCCGTTGGACCTCTTATCCACTTCGTATTCTTCAATTTCGTCTTGCACAGGTAGCATCGGCTGGTGCTTCTGTCCCAGTTGCTGCAGCATGCTCACCATGCTACCGTATTTTGCATCCAACTTCCTAGCGCCTTCCTCGTTCCTCGTATACCGCTTCACGCATACTTCATGGCTTCGTGGGATTTCATGCTTGTGGGTCTCAAAATATCTTGCGACCTCTTCGGGAGAATGCTGGTCTAGGAAACGTATGGGGCATTTGTTGGAGCCGGCGGCCGATGGAGGCGCGGAGACATGTGTTTCGGCATATAGTGCTGCGCATATGGGATCTGTTGAGTGATGGGGGGTGTTGTCTTCCGTATCGGGGACGGCAGTGGTTTCCTCAGCGGTCTCCATCGCCGATACTTGGCTTGATGAGTCCCGGTTCGGGGCGGGCTTATTGGATTTTTGAGAGAATGGGCACATCAGTTGGCTTTTTCTGCCCGGTACTGTGAAGTCTTGTTCATGGAATGTTGTGAAGGAGGTTCCACCGCGGGAGTTCCTATTGTTACTGCTCGTAGCTATTGAGGCACTGCGATTACCAACGGCAGATCTATTCCAGCCCTTAAGAGAAGCTATGAGCTGTGACGCCTTTCGCCCATCTCTTATAGCCTCAGCCGTCTGCTGCTTGGAGTTTCCGGACCGCCGGGGAGGTAGCGGCACCAGTGACGTTCGGTCCTCTGCATTCACTCGGATGTCCGCGGGAAGCTGCAGCTTGGCTAGAGTGCTCGAGATATCTGGATCATCAGACGGCGCGTACTTGAGGGCTAGAACTTGATACTATGAAGATGATAGTCAGCGGGCAGTCTTCGCAAATATATAAACGTATTCATGGTGATGAAAGAACGGTATTCAGGAAACATGATTGGTTTTTGTCGGTCGTTGTCACCAGAAGCGACTCCAGATCTAGAGCTAAAGTGTCTCATCACATCGTGTGGTTGGGGGGAAGAAGACAAAGGAATGATGGATTATGCATACCTGTTCGTGTGCAAAACGTAGCTTGTGTTCGAGAACGGTCTTCCTATCGCTCAACAGCTGAACTTCGTCAGCCAGAACATTGAAGTTCTCGGTCAGTCTTTTCATGAGCTGATCAAAATCGGTGTCTCTCATGTGGCTCATGATCTAGATAGAAAATAGGACCTGGTTCAGTCGTCCTATTCCCATGTAAATTCGTTGAAAAGAGAGAAGGGAAGGGAAGGAAAGGAAAAGGCGTGGAGAATCGGTTGACGACAATTTGTAGTCCAGTAACTTAGTCTTTGCTTGGCGCCTACGAGGGGTTGATCAAAGTTAGCTTTGCCACTAGAACAGCCCTAGCTTCATTGATAAGCATACCTTACCGGCGCGCCTCATAAATTTGGAGTGGTCCCAGGACGGTCCGGGGACTCTGAAAGGCGCTCGGACCACCCGTAATGTGGATGGAGCCAGGAGCGGTCCTGGAACGGCGGCCGAAGTAAGACCAATTGGTAAAAAGACCGTTCCTACGGTCGGAATAGAGCGATTCAGCAATGTTCGACAGTCGTCGGCTTGACACTGCCTAATCCGGTGATGCCAAGCAGTACTAGAGTACTACTAGATTATATTAGTATTAGAGCAATAGAATCCTTGTTTAGTACTTACCATACCTCCTAATTAGGCAATATCAAAAGTTTGGTGATATTGACTGTATTGAACACTGCTGAATCGCTCGGTGTAGAAAAGTTGGATTATGATCGGTCGTTAGATAATTCTCCCCTTCCGGCCATACCCCCTATGGCGTTCCCTTTGTAATCCCCTATGTGACTAGAGCCCTTTGTTCCCTCTGTAAAATACTGGCCTTTGATAAATTTTTCTACTTCAGTAAGTGCTTTGGAACTGGGCGGGTGGGGGGAGAGGTGGTGGCGTCCGAAAAAAGATACATTGCGGTACGTCTATTGCCATACAAATATATATGTAAATGGAAGTACCTATATGTACCCTTTTGCGACTGCCACCACTGCAAATTACCCCTATTCGACCACCACTTTCGTTATAAAATATCTTTGCGACGTAGCTACTATATTGTGTAAAAATAAAGGAGGTTATAGTAATATAACCTAATGTCGGATACTGAAGAGCTAGAGTTGATTGCTCTTACTGTTTGCGCAGCAGCCTTACTTGTTCGACGTCGTCGCCAGCGCTGATATTATCAGTGGCTTATACGGTCTTTATATATAACTCAACGCCCACAAGCCTGGATTACATACGAATATGAGAAGTTCAACTGGAATCTACGATCGTGGGGTAGTCAAACTCCAGGGCGGGTAGTTCACAAGTTCCGGTAAGTAATTGAATAGGGGTTGAGGTTTGGGGTATAGGTTCTTATACTATTAAGGTTTTCAATCGAGGAAATCGCCCGGCTTGTGCCACTCCTTCAGCTTTATAAAATTGAATGGAGAGACCGGGTAAAGCCAGACTTAGAGACTGCTCTTTGTGTAGTCCTAGCTCGCCTTGCGTATCCAGGATGTTGGTCAACCTGCGCTGATCTTTTTGGGCGGTCGCCAGCATGGCTCTCTACAGTTTTCAATGACGTAATGAGCCACTTAGTACATGAGTTTGAGGCTGTACTCGAGTGGCACCCATACCTTACATACAAGAAGCTGTTACAATTCAAAGAAGCGATTGAAGACAGTGGTGGGTGTGGTCAAATATGGGGGTTTGTCGACGGAACCTTCCAAGGCTTTTGTCGACCAGCAGGAGACTCCGAAGTCCAGCGGCAGTGGTATTATGGATATCAAAAGAAGCACGGAATGCACTTCCAAGCAATTGTAACCCCAGACGGGCTTGTATCGTCCTTAATTGGACCATATAACGGACCCGCAAATGACTGGCGAATATGGCAGGATTCTGGCTGCGTACAGCGGATCCGGCGTACTATAGGAGGAAGAAAGGATTTATATCTTTATGGGGACCCTGCCTACTGTTGTACAGAGGGTATTCTAGCCCCATATACTTGCCCTCGTGGTCATCGATATCTTCCGCAAAAGCAGAAGCAGTTTAATAAGGCGCTATCGTCTGTAAGAATTGCAGTAGAGAACGCCATTGGGTTAACACAACAGTTATGGACATATACAGCATTTGACAAGGGGTTACAGTCACAATCACAGCCTGTAGCTGCTCACTTTAAAGCTGCAATACTGCTGTCAAACTGTTATACCTGTATTCATGGCAATTTGATCAGGACAAGGTTTCTAGTACCACCACTAACAGTAGAGGAGTATCTTTGTTATAATAGCTAGCTACGATATATACTAATTACTTGACTCTATCCAACCCTCTACTTCGTTGATCCCATTGTGCTGTGAGCTCTTAACTGGGATGCTTCGCCAGATAGGCCCATGAAGCGCTTGCTTGTCATACTGACATTCGTTGCACTCAGTTTGCTATCAAACTCAAGAGCAAACTTAGAAATCTCCTCCTCAAACCTACAAGTCACCATACATATCTTGGCTTATCACACCAACAACAGAAGCAATACTACTCAACGATTGCTGCAAACTCTTCTACTACATCTGTTTATGCTACATACATCACGGCATATCATTTGGACACTCATTGAACAAGTTATTAAGAAAATCTCCTCCTTAAGGGGGTGGGCCAATACTACCACATGGCATATCTCTACCAACTAGAGGCCTAGGAACATGAACGATAGCTCTAGAAGCTTCTACAACCCTCTATGATTCATTACACGTCATCGCTCCTTAGTTACCCACAAGATTGGTTAAGTTATGACATAATTTGTCTATAGGTACTCTGACCTTGGACCTCCTTTTCACTTCCTATAGGCTAGGAACCCAAGAGATGGTTCTATGGGATTCTCTTACGTTCACTACATGATTAGCAAGCTAGTTGTGGGTCGCACTTGATTTCTAATACATTTACCAAGCCTGGTTAGTCATGGAAAGTCATGGAAAATAAGAGAACTACACTCCTTTGGCATAAATAGGATTGCCCTTTCCTTAAGAAAGGGCAAGCAGACAATACAGTAAATCGACTAGCACATACTTCTACGTCTTTTACAAGCTTCCAAGCATTCATCTTGTTACTCCTTGTTTCTGAAAAGTCAGTGAGGTGTTAACCTCTGACTTACCCCTGAGTTCCCAGACTCAACATTTGTTGCAACTTGTCTAACCCACTTCACCACATCATACACCTGATTGCTGCGTTGTGGAATAGTCTAAGCTACAACCCTTTGGCTCTGTTTCCTAAGACAGTGTGTTGTCTTAGTAAATTCATCCCTTCCTTGGGTGGCTAGATTCTCATATCTGGTGCACTCACCATTACACCTTGCCTGCTTCAAGCTTCAACTATTTCTATAGCAGCACTTCGATACTACAATGGAGGACGACCAAGCTCCTACAACTACTGCTGAACAGCAGATGCAACAACTGTTTGCCTTTATACAAACTATAGCAAACAAACTTGAGAATTTGGAAAACACCTTTCAAGCCAACACTTCAGCAACACAATCTTCAACTCAGACACATCATACAGAGCTTCCCACAGCTCCTCTGGCTATTTCGAGTACCCCAGGTGCACTTCCTAAAGTGCAAACACCAGATTTATACCATGGAGACAGGAGGAAGTTGAAGGGATTTCTTATGCAACTGGACATCTACTTCACCCTCAGGCCTCATCAGTTCACCTCAGACATTCAGAAGATCTATTTCGCTGCCAGCTACCTCCGTGGATCTGCATTCAACTTCTTTGAGCCATATCTTAGAAGACTTAGTGGCAACAACCAAAATACCACTACACCTTTGATTACCTCTTATGACCAGTTTCAAGAGGAACTTACCAGGACCTTTGGAGACATCAACGAAACTGCTACAGCAGAAAGAGAGCTACAGAAGCTATGTCAAAAGACCTCTGCTGCTCAGTATACAACAGAATTTAGGAGAATCACTTCTCACTTGACTTGGAATGAAGAAGCCTTAGTCTTCACTTACTACCAAGGGCTCAAGAGCTCTATTAAGGATGAACTCAGCAAAGAAGAACGCCCTACAACACTTCAAATGCTTATAGAGAAAGCTGTCAGACTTGATGATAGGCTTTTTGAAAGAAGAAAGGAGAAGAACCAAGACTGGCATCCAACAAGAAATTTCAACAATTACACCTCTACACCAACTGCTAAGGACTCAGCACCTGAACCTATGGACTTAGACGCCTCTATAAAGAGATCTACAGCAAATCCAGCACCTCAGCCTACAGGATACCCTCAAAAACTGAAAAGGGGTAAACTTACCCCTCAAGAAAGAAAACACAGAATGGACAACAACCTTTGTTTATACTGTGGCAAAGGGGGACACAGAATTCAGGAGTGCTATTCAGCACGGGGGAGTGCTGATTCAAAACATATAGCAGCCTCAGACACAGTCACAACTGCTATTCCTGAAAAACTTGAAAAATCCCTAGCAGGCACAACTTCAACTGAGACTATAACTTCTCCCCTAGACAACAAAGATGTGTCGATGGTGCTTTCTCAGAGTCTCACACACCTGTTAATCCCTATTCAACTCCATTTCAAACAACAGGTGTTGTCTACAAGGGCTATGATAGACTCAGGGGCAACAGGCAACTTTATATCTCAAGACCTCATCTTGACACACCAGTTACCTACAATTCCCAAACGCACTCCAGAGTTGCTCCGAGTCATTGATGGAACTCCTATCAGTTCAGGTTCCATTACCTGCAACACCCCAGTACTCAAACTTGAGATTCCCCTAGGAAAATCAACATTTTCAGACACCATCTCTTTAGATGTTATACCAATGAAGTACCCAGTCATCCTAGGTCTTCCATGGCTTCAAAGGCATGATCCAACTATCAATTGGAAGCATTTATCGCTTGGGTTTAGCTCAAATCCTGAGCTCAATACTGAAAAAACCCTTCAAGCCTCAGTTACCCCTATTCAGGTCCAAGACTCAAACTTGTCCCAGATCAAGGATTTTGACCAAACTATGGACGATATATCATCTCTGATATGGGTTAAACCTTTCCAACCTGTCCTGGAGATAGCAGCTACTTCAGATTTGGAGAAATCATCTCAGGAGGTCATTTTGCCTTTAGCATACCAAGACTACCAACATCTTTTTGACAAGGCAAAGGCATCAATTCTGCCAAAGCACCAGCCTTATGACCATGAGATACCACTCGCAGAAGGCTCAATGCCTCCC